ACAAAAGTAACCACAGGCCAGAGCTAGCTTATCAGCTCGGTTAATATTTTCCGAAATTGCTAGATAGGCACTTTAAGAAAGTGGAACCTTGGAACCTTCCTGATACGGGTCTTCGCCTACGTAGGACTCCATAGTAATAATAATTGTTAATCGCATGTGAAAGATCTAACCAAAGAAAACATGGTAAAATTAATTTGAGGAAACCCTGATAATTCAAATATCAGAACAGTGTGTAAAGACAATTATTACATCCAAGCGCAATACAATAATTATTTTTCGTGTTCTCGTACCGAATACCTATAGGGCATAATACAGCTTATCTCCCGGTGATCGCCAGGGGCGAGGTTGCAAGGTCTAGAGCGGGAACTAAAAAGAGATCGCGTGGATCGCCAAGATTTAACGGAAAAGAATTTTTGCTGGTCTCAGGTTGGACCAATTGTATACCGGAATCAGTCCACATGGGCAGGGTCTTTGTGTCGGGCTTTTTGGTTCGGGTTTCCCGGTCTAGATCGGGCGTGGGACGCATTGTATACAACATATGGGAGTACATATTGGAGTCTTTAGGTCACTAAAAGAGCTAAGTTCATTGCTTATATTTTAAACATCCATTTCTCAAAACAAAATATCTGCAACTAGAAGTCAAATCTGGAGAATCCTGTCCAAGAACACCCGGGAATGCCCGGCAATTTCATATAATCGGCTATGTCGCAGCGGGTTGATCGAAGCTACGGAGCTCCTTGACCACGCCCCGGTTGCTTAGCTTATAACAAGGTGAATTTCAGTTCCGGCTCAGCAAGAATTGAATACCGTCATGGGCATGTACGTAGGCAGCCTCGGCTATCGGAACTCAACAGTATCCAGCGCAACCGGCCTCGGATCCAGAATCGCAATGCCGCCGCGGCAACGAGGATATCTGCACGGGCAGGACACGTGCATGCTGCTTGCTGTATAGGTCATCCAAGCATGTGTCCTTGTTGTCCACCATAAGGCCGGATCCCCCGGTTTCACTAGAGATCGTGCCATTCGACCTTTAGTCAAATTATCAGGCCATGTGTGCAGTGTACTTCGTCCAATGTTGTTGTCCAGGAATTGAATTCCGCGCTGGAACTCTCAATAGGACCAACGTTGTTGTGGTTTATGCTGGTGCCAGTGCTGGATCTTGATACGCTGCACTTGAGCATAAGACGTCCACAATTTTCAATTGGGAGGTACTGTGGCACCAGTGGCAGGTTCCTGCGAAGATTGCCTCTTCCACGATCTCTACGCTAACCATAGCTAAGTTTGAGAATTGTGCGATGAGAATCCATTCTCGAGGTTGGCGATTATTGCTGCAGCGGTGGCATGGTGTACTCTGTATGAAGGTTGTGGCCACGGAGCCAACGATATTCAATGAGGCATGTCTTGATCAATTGCAAGTGTACTAAATTTTGATATTTCTTTTTTGAGACTGGTTACCCCAAGCACAGGTTAGCTTTCCCCCGTTTGCCGAAAACAGCGTTGTGACATCGAACAAGGAAATGTGGCACACGACACAATCGAACTAACCCTTGAAGTGGTCAGCATAATAAATAAACTTTCCCGGTCGACTTGTACATCTGATTGGAGGAGTCATGAGAAGAAACGGAGTGAAAGAAAAGTCTGAACTGGACTTCAATGTTAAATTGTGTCTATAGCACCCGTTTTCCGTTTTTAGTTAGTGTTCTCGGCCACGGCCTTGGTGAGCTTAAACTCATGATGGGTTATTAAAGTTTTTTTTGGGGTAGATCTAAATATATCATGCCGGGGCGATGGACCACATGGTGATGTCAGTAGAGCCTTCCGAGGAACTAATGGATGCCATTTAATGACATTGACCACCTGGTACATATATCCACCCGATCCATTGTGTACTTCAATTACGCAACGAGCAGATACTGGAGCATGACTGAAAATATCCAGTGAGCCTGGAGCCATGTATGTATTATGTTCACAAGTAATCACAGTATTAATGACATGGAAACGGGGAAGAAGCAAAAATGCCAAGTCGCAGTGAGATTTAAAGCCAGCTGCTCTAGATCAGAGATCAGAACCACTTGGGCCGCTTTGCAAATCATGAAGACGTCAATCGAGAGAACCCAGAGGTCGAGATGACCGAAGTGGGTTGAAGGAGGTGGTAGGAGTCGTGTCACAATGTCTATAACAGGCACAGCCCGAAAATAGAACGTCGAGTATATTGAGAACGATGGGGAAATTCCTGGAGAACAGTATACACTGCAAACCAACATGCCATGCCATGTTAAGATCGAGCGAAGCACAGATGCGGTCGATAGGACGAAGACAACCCAGCACCATCGAATAACATGACAGGATTGGTTCATAAGTGTTCGATGGCAGTCTCGGTCCAGCAAGCGCATCGAATATTGAGGGGGGCGTGGGTGGGAGGGTGCCGAGGAAGCAGCAGGCTAGAAAGACGTGAGAAGTCCTTCAGAAGATCCATCCAAGAATGATATAGAGAACGACACCAGCGGCAATACACATGCCAGCAATCTTCAGCACAGCAACAGAATCGCCTTGTTTCGCCATCCGCGTGAGTCGAGTGGCGCTACCTTTGAGGTTTGTTGAGAAGGAGGAGAACACATCGCTCTAAGGAGGCAGGATTGTCAGTCGCAAGCTAACACAATCAAGGTGCCAGTCAAAGTATCTTCAGGCAACAGGCAAATGTCCTGAATCATTATCGGACCAGCAAAAGGTTGATAAGACATACCGTGTGGTCGAGTGTGTCCTGATCCCGCGCATTGTCATGGATATCGATCGTCACAGACCGGAGGGCGGAGACCTTCGAGGATAGGGAATTGAGGAGCGCATTGTTTTGCCTATTTCAAAGTATCAGCATTCGAATCGACACATGACTCGTTCCATGGGGTAGTCCGACGGAACAGTGGAGAAAGGGGGACATACTGCTCGCGTTCGTAGGCGTCACTCATTTTGGATACTTTCAAAGTTTTCCTCGATCCTTTGCAGAGTGTTTATTAGGAGTGAGGTAAAGCCTGCAGAGACCGGAAGACTGTCACAGAAATGAGTGAGGCGGAGGTGAGTGGCCAAAAGCTTCGAAGGTTGGGGAATCGGAGCCGACGTCAGTCCAGTGACAGATCACATGATCGTCGATCTTCACTATGGAAATCTACACTTTTTAACTCTTCGTTTTTCATCATATCTTGACAAAATGCAGAGTTGAGTAGTCTCACATTGTTCAGGCTGCGGACACCCTGCTGCCAGGTATATGACACCGTGTACAAAGAAAGTCACACAAAATCTACAACACGCAAATTCGAGTCCCCTGATGAACAGGTTGCTCATTAAGGCCTAGGAATTGCTATCTTGTAGTTCGATGAGATATTCTGTATCTTATTATTTGCATGGACATAAAATGCGTTAATATTCAAGTTTGACATTTTTGAAGTCACTTTGCTTCGGAAATTATTGTGATAGTATGAGATTAAGCCTGAAGATATCTCCGCTACCCTTACTTCTACTGAGTTTTAATCGAGCCCTCGGCTGTTGGTACTGTTGTTATCTTTTACAGTCAGAAGCTATATATATATAGTCAACCATGACTTGGAGTATATTGTAAATGCATCCCGGGCTTCAATCGAGTTGTATTCATCAAATTTCTCTTTGGTCACGTCTCTCGACATGTCAAGGGAAAGAGCACAGTAATAAACACATCAAGGGATAAAGCACAGCGATAGCAAAATATAGAAGAAAAGCCGGGGGAGCTTTGTATGCATTTCTTTTCGGACCCACACGCGTTCCCCGCCTTGGATCGACGTTTTACCCGCGAACAACTCAGATCATTTATGGTGACATACGCAAAATGGCATCGACTGAAGATGAAAGACCAACGAAACGAGCCCGTCAGGCTTGTGAGCCATGTCGGTGAGCTTGAACCTCCCGAGTTGAGAGCCAATTGGACTGACATTCCTCTAGCCGGAAAAAGTCGCGTTGCCCAGGAGAGAAACCGAATTGCTCGTACTGCGAGCGATTGGGTCAACAATGCGTGTATGCAGGCAATGAGAGTGGAGAGGAAGGCCCGGGGTACTCACAGAAGATGATGGTAAGTATCATTGATGCTGCATATGTAGAAACTAGAATCCTAACGTGGTACAGGAACAACGCATTTCCGGCATTGAAGGGAAGCTAGAACAGTTGATGGAATATATTACGTGTGTTGTTATTTTCTCTATATTATATTTTACCTGGCTGATTGAGCTCGCAGGCGACCTGCCTCAAATAATCTCCCTTCACCAGTTGTCCCTGAGAATCACCCTCAGATACCACAGCTTACACCCCCGGAGAGCTTTTCTGTGTGAGTACAGCTTGGGACTCACTTGCACGGGATCTTCATTGACGAATGACATAGAACCGAGTCATCTGGGATCCCAGATGCTGAGCTTTATCTGACCTTTTGCAATGCACAGCCCCTTCTGTTATTCCCCCACAGATCCTCTCTGGCTTCCCTGGGGAAGCGAGACCCCGAGCTTTTACTCGCGATTGAAGCTCTCGGGGTCCGCTTCAAAAGACCAGGGATCATTGGCCAGGATATACAATTGGAGATCAAGAGAAAAACAGAAAGGGCCTGTCAGATGGTCATGATGCGTTTGGCATCCGGTACTGTGGAGCTATCTACGATTCAGACCCTTTGTCTTCTGAGTATGCTGGAATTTACAGGTAAAGCAGTTCTACCCTTTGTCCTTTTGTCCATCTCTAACATTGTGTTTCATCTGTCAGCGGGTCACATCATTCGCGCAGGGTCTTATACTAGACTCGCCACATATTTGATGAAAAACCTCAGAATAAGTGGCCTAGAGTCTCTAAACAATTTAGAAACCGAGCGGGATGAGCGCAAGCTCTGCTACATAAGCCTGGTCATGCTTAAAAATCTTCAGGGGTCCCTACATCCACCTGGAAACAGCTTGGACTTACTTGCAGAGCCTGGTGAGATTGTCTCTCCATTGGGAGCCATGATTTTCAACAAAGAAATTGCCCGTGGTAACGGCGGTGATTCCAAGCCAGACATTGGAATTGTTGGTAGCAGTGTTTACACAAGCGAGCTGTGGGCGATGGCATGTAATTATGCCGCCAACCATGTCGGCGTTGACGCTCATCCCCCATGGGCTCCAAACTCTGATTACACCATGATCAATTTCCGCCACTGTGAGCACGAAAGTCTCATGCCACTGAGGTTTCGACTTCATGCAAGTCGCTTCCAAGACCACCCCCGCCGAACTTCAGGCTCATCGTGACTACTGGAGCCCATGGCTATTCTTCCAGTTGGTTTGGCACGCTGTTCCTTGTTTGGTAAATCATCCATTCCTGTTATCCATGCGACTTCGGAATTTCCGGAGAACAATGCCTCAGTCATTCCTCCGCAATTCTTTCGAGCAGCTGACCTTCCACTCGGGCTGGGTTGTTCATTTTCTCGAGCTCATTGAGACTAAAAGCTTCGAGGTATCTGACCCGACCATAGGGCAATGCGTGGCAATTGTTGCTACGATCTATCTTCAACATAGTTTTGTTGAGGATCAAGCTTTTAACAGAAAGGCGCAAACGGGATTTGAGAAATGTCTCAGATTCCTACGCAACATGAGTCGTCGGTGGCCACACATCGATCGCCAGGTGAGTTATCAATCAGTTGTTACTTTGGTGCATTGGTTCTGATGTCGCTTTTAGGTCCAACAGCTCCAACAACTCCGAGACAGCGTTTCCGCTGGAGGCCTTATGACAGACAGTATCGCCCCAGGAGGAACACATTCTCGTCAAAAGTGGTCTGTGAACTTGCAGCTGTTATGGAAGATCTTAGTATATGCCCATGCAAGCAATATATCAGATCCTGCTAGCGACATCTTCGGCCCGGAACTTGCCAAAGACAGTGTTGGATGCTCAGGGGACCCTTCCGCAGGCGCTATCACCGAACGTGATTTCGCTTTGATTGGATCCGCTGGAATTTCAGGTCACAAGACAGTGGCTTCCGAGTGTGTCACCTACCCACCCGAGCAGACTGAGGATCCCATACGAGCGCCGAGTCAAACCTCACCGAGGATGGACTTTTCGGGGCTTCCGGGAGATCCCAATATGGAGTTTAGCGGTGGTGACACGTTGTTCCTCCAGCTCCAAGATTATGGGAGGGCATTTGAGGATTGGCTAAGTGTTAATCCGACGTCTACGGGTGAGGTTGGAATTTAGATGTCCTTCATCTTCTCGTCCGGGGAATACGGACCGGATGCGGACTTTTCCGAACGCCAAGACCCGGCACTGAGCCCGCCTCGGCATTTTATAAAGGACATCCTCCGACCGGTGTAGTTTGACAACACATATCTGGCTATTAACCTGTCGCCCAAATGACTACAGCTAAGACAGACTCAATCCTGATTGTGGGCGCCGGCGTCTTCGGTCTTTCGACCGCCCTTGAACTCAACAAGCGCGGATATACCGATATCACCGTGGTCGATCGATTTGTACCACCGTCAGCAGATGGAAGTAGCGTTGACATTTCGCGCATTATTCGTACAGACTATGCGGACCCAGTTTACTCTCAAATGGCCCGAGAAGCATACAATGGATGGACCACCGAGTACAAAGATCAATACTTCGAATCAGGATTCGCCTTGTTCTCGGAAACGCCCAAGAACGCATATATGGAGAAGTCCAAGGCTATAATCCGTGCCGCAGGTGGAAAATTAGACGATCTTAACGACGCCATGGATATCCGCAAACTCTACCCCAGCGTTCAAGCCGATTTCTCCGGCATGAACGGATACCATAATCCGAAAGGTGGCTGGGCCGATGCCGCAGGCAGCATCCAAAAGCTGGCTTCCAAGTGTACTGTGGCGGGTGTTTCGATCATTGCCGGACCTCGTGGTACTGTTGTTTCTCTACGCCGAGCGGGCTCGCGCGTTGTTGGTGTCAACCTTGTCGGAGGGCAGGTATTACTTGCTTCACAGGTTATCTTGAGCACTGGCGCGTGGACAAACCGTCTTTTGAACATGGGCCAAGCGGCATCTTCCTCTGGCCAGCCTGTTGGTTTCATTCAGTTGACCGAAGAGGAGGCTCTCGAGATGAGGAAGATCCCAGTCATGATCAACATGAGCTCTGGCGTGTTCTCCTTCCCGCCTACACCGGACACAAATGTTCTCAAGCTTGCACGCCACGGTTACGGATATGCAACTGATGTCGCTGTCAATGTGGACGGTGTGCAGAAGTCGCTCTCGTCGCCCAAGTTCGAAACCAGCAATGCGGCCACTGGATATTTGCCCGACGACGCGGATGAATCGCTGCGAAAGGGTTTGCGTCAGTTCTTCCCCAAGCTGGGTGATCGCCCTTGGATGAACCGTCGACTCTGCTGGTACACGGATACCCCCAATGGTGACTTCATTATCGACCACCACCCAAACATTCCGGGACTGTTCATGGCTACTGGTGGCGCAGGACAGTAAGTGTTGATCAAAATTATTACCCTGCACGCTACAGCTTATGCTAACTCAATCGATTTTAGTGGATTCAAATTCCTCCCTATCTTGGGCCAATATATCGCGGACTGCTTTGAGAACAAAGCACCCGAAGCTTTACGCCAAAAGTGGAGGATGAACCCACCCCAAGGTGACTCAAAAGGGCCCATGGCAGGCGATGGGAGCAGAGCAGGTCCTCCGCTGAGGAGACTGACTCCACTCGAACAAGCCAAGCTGTAATTACTAGATGTAATGACGCTACGATAGTTGGGAGCGCCGTTGTTGTTGAATAATCGAACGACATGATGTCACGGGGCTCTCATAGAAATACATGTCCAATGAGAGACACATAATGAAGGTTTTGCAAAATCACAAGAATAGAGACTGATAGTTGGCTGCACTGCCGTATGGTCCCCGGCTCCGAGAAACGGTGATGACTATTGACGATGCTGGACACAGCCTCGAGCAAGTTCCCAGGTAAGCTTGAAGGCAACCAGTCTCTTCGGATTCGGCACATAATACCCATATTAGGCCTTGGGCAGGGTCAAATCTAGTACATCTGGTAGGTTCATTGTGGGCCATATGATAAAGACAAATTCTTCGAGTAAAAAGAGGTTCAAGTCTAAATCTATATAAACACGTTGGGAATTATTTGCATCCAACAAAAAGGAAACGCATTGCACAAGAAGAAAACATAATCTAGTAACACAATATAGGTATCAAATCATGTCACACACACCCATTACTCAAACAGGAGGACTAAGTGGAACAAGGTCCTTTTCGTCCTCAGATGCAGTCCTCGTGTTGGTAGCAGTCCCCGTAGCAAAGCTACCATCCTGGCATACTGGCCAATCATCCTGTCGCAGCCAGTACTTCTCATGAGAAGGCGCACCTTTGAACACCCCCTTCAAATCCAACGGGTCGGCAAAGGTCTCCCACTGAGAGCGGCGGTCGATCCAACCGGGACCCATTCGCTCCGTGCGACCATCAGGACACAGGTAGCGTAGCTTTTGACGGGGTAGATGCCGACCAGGATGCATCAAGTTGAGCCACCAAGTGAAGAGAAGCATAGGACCCAGCTCAAATGCATATAGGTACCATTCGTTGCTGAGAATAGGCCCGCAGTTCTCCCGGCAACCGAGATTACCAAACATCTCGAATGCCTCAGCCGCACGGAAGATACACCGCAGCAAAACAAGGATCGATGTCCCGTAGAGTGTGATGCAGATTATACGGACATTTGGCGAAAGCATCCGTGCCCGAGAGGAGCGGACGTGAATTGTTGCAACGACGCCGATCACGCAGCATTCGACCACTGCTTGTAGAACAAGCCCTGCAGCAATCAGAGTCCCACCGGCCTTGTACTCGTTCAGGTCAGAGCCGGCCGATGCGTTCTTGGCTGCTCCTGCGACTGTAATTGCTTCTACAGCAGCGCCGACATAGACGAAGAAGATCAGGACGCGATTGGGATTGAGGACCGCGTGCATTGGCAAGTAGTTCATGAGGCGTCCGACGAGGTTATATGCGGCGGCGGAGTAAACTGGTGGGCCGACATAGATGAAGACTGTTGATGCGATATATATGTTCAAGTTTGCTGGGTGGTAGCTCGATATGCAGCGGAGAATCCAGCCCGTTGTGAATAGGGCTCCACCCCAAGATATGAAGAAGGTGACGCGCCAGAATCGATAGCGGCTGAAGGTGTGAGAACAATCTTGGGTTTGATCAAATGGTATGTCAAATGCTTACTAGTTTTGGTAAATATGCAGCAATAGAGACAAGCCGACCAAGGCGGCAAACACGGCTGGTAATATATGACTTGGATCGTACAAATAGAGGTTTGTCTCTGCGTCCGAGTTATTTGAGGTCATGATGAAGTCCAATGGATTGTGAATGATATGAGAAAGCTGGGGAATTGCATGTATAAATAACCTCTCACCGTGTTGATATAAACTTGATGAAGCGCTACATACATCCCTATCGGGTTAGACAGAGTTGTACTTGATGACATTCAATTCAGCCCCATTGTATATATTTAATGAACTGGCCAATCAGCGATGTCCAACTCAGCCTTGCGGAGCGGTACATTTGACCCGAAGCGGTTAGACTGCACAGCCCAAATAACCTCAAGTTGGGGGCCCAAAGGGCCCTCTTGTTTATTTCCATTTTTAGTGCAATACATTACGATTTCATAGCCTTTTACGGAATACCCCAGCACTAGATAGGCACATATCTGAAGCCCTGCAGTGTTCGTTTTAAGATCCACGCTCCGCTCCCCCACTCGGGTCTTTCCCGCCATGCCGGGTGTCCCATCAGGTCGGGCCTGTGAAGGGTGTCGCAAGCAGAAGAAAAAGGTACGTGCGATAAAATGTGGCACGCAGTTCTATTCCTAATAACATGTCAAGTGCGACGAGAAAAAACCTGCGTGTGGACGATGTCTTCGTCTCAAAGTGAGCTGTGTGGGGTCCGGTCAGCAACGATTCAAGTTCAAACAGGAACACTTCTCCCCCAAGTCAAATCAAAACGGCCAAATGACTCTCGCCTCGAGATCAATATCCACAGAAGAAAAATATCCTTTTGAAATTCCCCGGCCATGTCCTAGCAATAGAATGACATCATTGACCAGTTCGTTTGTCGGCGCCATAAAACGATCCACCGACCTCAGGTACAACATGTGGTGGTCTTTCGGCATGTTCCTGGAAGACGTACCCCGACGACTCGGCAGTAGCGAAGCACTCGACCGTGCAGTTGATGCCGTGACCACTGCCCACGCAGGCTTCTGCACCCGCCAACCAGTTTCGGTTGAAACACTAGCCAAGTATTCCTATGCGCTCAGAACCCTAAGGATCTATCTAGATGACCCGCTCCAGGCGAGTGCTTCCAGTACACTGTGTGCTGTGATGATACTTTTGGTTTGCCAAACATTCATCGGAAGTAACGGGAACATAGTATCAGGACATGCACAAGGGGCCGCCAACATTCTACAAGCGCGAAAGAACTTTGGGCCACGCGATGACTTTGAGCGTAAATTGTTCCTCTCTTTACGGGGAAGTGTGGTAAACCACCCCGAACTTCCACCATTTTCCGAACCCAAGCTGATCACACCCCCAAGTTATTCGAAGGGCTATACAATGATGATATCGACCTGAGCCCCGAGGAGTGGGATGCCTTAGTCACGAATGACTTTGATCAAAACCAACCCGAAGGCCGGATTTTGCGATGTCTAGCACAGGCCCCGGTCCTAATCAAACGCGGCAAACGAGCTATTCGCGCCGGCGAAGATATAACACCCTTGACAAACGAAGTCCGACCAATATACGAAAAATGCAAATTGATCCTGGCAGAATTGAAAGCACGAATAGTCGAAGACGAAGCTTCCGAGCTCAGTATCATGAAAGAAACTTTCATTGCCCAGATCTTGCGAGCACATTATCTCCGCACCTATGGAATTGGTGTCGCAATCACAACGTTTTTCAATTGCATGCTTCAGGCACTGGATCCCAGTGACTATATTTGCGTGATAGAATCGAGAGCCCTTGTTAAAGAGATTCTCGTACATGCTCAGAAGTCCAATATGTACCGACCTGTTGGAGCAGGATATGTAATAATGTGTTTATCAGCAGCATGGGTCGTTACTACTGACCCCCAACTGCAGTCAATGGTGGAAGCCGCCTTGATTGACTATTATGGTGACCTTGTGCCCCATTATCGTTTGAATATACCACGAGAGCTGGAACAGGTGAATGAGAACGTATGGCTCCGGTCGACTGCTCAGATGAAAGCGATTTTTAACCCTTGAGAATATATAATTGCTGGGCCTCTACTGCGCTACAGCACAAGTATATATAATAGAATCATTCCATTCTTTGATAACTAGTGGTTTAGTCAACTTCCTTCATTCCATGAATTCCTAGAAACAATCGATCCGACTAGATTGGCGATTATTTCTTGAAGAAATTCATGTGCTGCGTTTTGCTTTTATGCAATTTCTCCGCTGACCGTTGCAAATTTTGCACTCGAGTCTTGTGCCCTGCCGCGTCTCTCTGGTTGTCATATCCAATGTATCTTTCCGCCATGTCCCGTCGGCTATCAGCGACCCTGAAGTCCACATTAGCACACTCAGATACACGAGGAAATACTTCTTCCCTACCTCTGAAACGCATCTCCAGCATCTCCCGCCTTTGCAGCAGCAGATTGATGCCAGTCCTGCGTCGCCTTTGGTTGTCCTGCATAGCTTTGAGGGCTCTGGGCAATCTGATCCTTTGAGGGTGGTTTATATGAAGTGGAAAACTTCTTGTACTTCTCGCGGACTACTTTTGCGGTATCATCTTGCTGTTTATAAGCTTGGTACTGCCGGTCAAAGGGGCTGCCGGCTGGAGCCTGGCCGCCATTTGCCAGTGCTGCACGATATTTGTCAAATGCGTTACGGTCTTGGGCGGGTGCGCTGCCCACAAAGTCGTTGGGTTCTCCCCACATGGTATTCGGGAATCCGGACTGGTAGCGTGTCGTTTCAGGTTGGTGGCCATTCTGTTTGGGAAATGAGTTGGCGCGGTCAGGCATATTGGTACCGTATTCGATGATCCCTTTTAGATGAACTGGTTGGAAGAAGATTAGGTATTAATGCAAGCGTCTCAAAGATGTGATCCAGCCTAGAAGACTGAAGCAGAGAGAGAACCTCAGATTTGAACAGACAAGACCGAGGAAAGACAGAACCGCTGCTTTTATGCCATAATTCTCTGTCTATTCAATCCTGCAGGACAGCGCATTGAATGCTACAGTACAGCCTCGCCTCTGGGCGAGGCTAAGTGATGTATTCTGATTGGTTGTATCACATCCCTGCGGGTGGTAAGCACAGTACATAGCCTTATGTACACGACCAGTAGAGAGATTTTAAAAAAGCCATGGGTATATTCGGGCGATGAGAGGGTGGGATGACAGCCTTCTTTGGTGGCAGTGAGAGATGCTGGCCCTGTGACTAGAATTGGCACCAGGCCTTCACTTTCTCCCTTCAGGTCAGAGAGCCTTTTGAAACCTGAACCTTTTGAGATATTCCCAAAAAGGTTGAGTATATAAGAGAGAGGGACATTACCCAAGGCTCACAAAGCGGTTGAGCGTGGTGAAATGCATGATCCTAAATCGTGTAGAGTGTACCTACATGTAGTAGATATGACCACGCCCGGGTGGATTGCTTAGCCACGTAATACCCCCCGCCTTGCCAAGATGAGGCTCTCGGCCTTGGGGACGCACTTGGGCATTTCTTTCTACAATCATTTCCTGAGATCCCTTGATTTTCTGATTATTCCGATTTTTTATACATATCATGGGAAATCAAAGCCTGCTTGAACAGCTGAGCACAGAGCTGATTCAAGGCATTCTTTTTGAACTTTCCGATATCCAATCCCTTGAATCTGCCATTCTAACCGGCCCACGTCTATATGCAGCATTCAAAGGCGGGGAAGTACATATTGTCAAAAGTGTACTCCTTCAGCAGCTTGATGCAGACTTATTGCATGATGCCCTTTCTACAGAGGTATCGATGCGAAAGAGGGTATGGGAAGAGTCGGATGCGGACGTGTTTCTTGTCAGTTACCTCTGTCGCAATGAACGGCCATTCCATCCTGTTTTGAATTATACTCTATCCCAGGCCCTTCGTTTATCGCGCCTCTATACTCTCATTGAACGTTTCACGAGTGATTTAACTGCCCCAATCCTTGCTCGAAACAAGCCCCTAGAAGACAGACACACAGAGGCTCCATCTCCGGCTCTACCCTTATCTCCAACAGAAAGAAATCGCTTTTTCCGCAACTTTTACCGGTTTCAAATCTACTGCAATATATTCGGAGACCCGAACGAATGCCCGTACCAAGACGGGTCCGACAGGAACCTTGCTTACTTTACGCATTTCTCCACATGGGAAAATGAGCAGTTGGCTTGTATTCACGATTATTTACTCAGGGTTATGTCCCCAGGTAGGCGTACATTGCTCTGCTCAAGTCTTGTTCGGCTCTAATTATTGGTTTTTAGCCTTCAAGCAAGAATCGGAAACCGATCGGGACTGGATCTTATTCTTCCTGCTGTCCCAAACAGGGGTGGATTCAACTATACAGCAGTACCACCTTTCACGCGGCCTAAAGCACATTGAACGGTTTCTCGATGCAGATACCCCTGAAAAGCGCCACAGTCTTCTCTCGGGCAAAGAGAGTCAAAAAGCGCACATGGCATTCTTTTCAGATATACTGGGAGAAATTAATGAATTTGAGCAATCCGAGTCTCTCAAAGATTTGACGTCCGCAGACGAAAAAGAGCTAGTGCGTCAACCACGGGACTCCGATCCGGACACTGGACCTGAGGATATTTGGCGGTGGGCACATTCCAACCAGCCATGTAGCCAATTTGTCTTCTCTCTCTCGCAAGCCCCATTACGAGAATGGGCGTATGTCATGTGGGATCGTCAGCGACTGGATGGGTGGAGTGTATTTGAGCGACCATGGGAGTTCATAGACGCAGAAGCGTGCGAAAATCTGTCGGAGACACGGAAAGAGGAAGAGAGGCTGGCATTCGAAGAAAGCGCAAAGCGTCTGGAGATACGAAGTATATGGATCTAGAATTGTTGGGCCATGCATGAACTACATATCGGACCGCTCATATATCGAGACTTGTTGGAAGTAATGGACGAACTTCGTAAACTTGAATAAGAATTCCATCGCCTTCAAGATCATCCATTCGGAAGCCAGGCGCCGTGTTTTCAACTTCTCGGGAAAGGCGTTTAGAAGGTCGGCGAGTTGTTTGTAGATACTGCAAGCTTTCGTGATCCGTAATTAACGTTGTCGTATGCCAGGCGTCGCTTTCCAGGAATGCACATTAACGGAGACAGATCATCTTCGTTCACTTGGATCAGGACTAGGAGTTTAATGAGGTTTACAAGCATTGATTTCCACTTAGGCCGAGTAGGACAAGTGTTCAAGTTAGTGGACTACCCAAGCTTGCTGATTTGGAGAGGCAATTGCACTAGTGGATTAAGCTCTCAAGCAAGGAATTATATAGAACCATCCATCCACATATATTAGAAAATTAGATATGGACTGAAACAATCTACATTCATCTTTTCATCTCTGGCTTACACTAATCCTTTGTGTTCAAAGTCTACTGCAAAGTAGATTGTTAGGGTTGTTATAGTTGTTTCTCGAGATTTAGACGGTCAACAAAGACGAAGGAAAATGGAGACGAAAGGACTAGACAACTTTAGGGATGAGACGTCTGACAAGCAAGGCAATCTGTTTGTTGGAACAATCCTCAATTGTCTATTGCTCTTGATCTGATATTCACTTTAATCTCACTCGGACCTGACATAGCCATCTCTCACTTCTTTTTCTCTCTCTCTCTTTAACCACAGCTCTCTCACCCTCATATCTCAGCCACTCAACTTCTTCCTCTATTTTTCTTGACCACTTGCTCGGAATTCACTACCCCAGCTTTCTTCTTTTCACCTTTGTGACCCATTGCTCTCTTATCTTCTCCCCGACTCTCACAACCTCCATACTTTGACCTTGCTCCTGGCGACAGCAACCATGTCGCTTGTCCATCTCCCCGCGGAGATCATTCTCATGATTGAGAGCCACCTGGACTCCAAGAAAGACCTCAATGCTTTAATTCGCACGAGCCCACATTTTGCTCTCATGTTTGAGGGGAAACTCTACAAAACCAATACGGCACACCAACACGTGTTTGTGATCTCATGGGCAGCCCATCGAGGCCTCGCTGGCACTATCCACAAGTGCCTCAAGGCTGGCGCCAAGCTCACACTGCGGGACCGATTCAGGTCTCATCTGAGAGCTCGCAATGCCCCCGAGATCATGAATATCATCCCCCGTCACCCGAGATCACACCCTTTGACCGCAGCGGCCGCCATTGGCTCAATGTCTTGCGTCCGTCTTCTCCTTAAACAGGGCGTCAATCCGAACTTGCTCGATGAATACTATGAAACCCCGATGAGACAGGCCGCAGGAAATGGCCACGTGAATGTCGTCAAACATCTACTTGATAAGTATCCCGATTCATTCACGGGTGCTTTCAAGCTTCGACGACCTCTCCATTTTGCCGCTGCTCGAGGCCACATGGACGTGCTCAAAGCCCTGTCTTCTTTCCTTGAACAATCTCCTCAACAGCTCACCGTCAAAGAATCTGCTCAAATAATTCTGTACGAGGGACTCTGGCACCGCCACGAAGATGTTGTCAGATATGCACTGAGAAAGGGCGCCGACGTGAATAACGAAAGTCTCACCCCCACGTTGCGGTTTGCTCCGGATATACGTTCAGGTGAACGTCCCGACAGACCACGAACCAGACTCGTCCAAGCTCACAAGACCATAGAAAAGATTAATGGGGTCAAAACCCCTGGCTGGTCAGGCGAAATATCCAATCCACTCTAAGCTGCGCTCCTCGGTGGTGATGAAAATCTGCTTAAGTTGATCTTTGACCATGGTTGTGATATTGTTCGGGTGGGCCCCGAGGCCCTTCGATACGCAATTGTTCAGAGAGAGAGAGAGGGCTCATCACTAGATTGATGGGAATGGGGGCCAGATTTACCCCTAAGGTCTTTGGTAAGGATCTTGAAAATGAAGCACGGGTTTGGGAGCACATGATGAGGAATATCTTGAAAGAACTAGGGTTCCGGGGTTGACCAGACTGGTACATTTGTTCAGCGCTACACTGAGACATTTGATCAACAGCTATTTATCTTACATATTCTCCAAGTTTCAGGTCCGTTTATCTACCTTCTATCTAGAGGATGAAGATCACAGAGACAGGGCACAAGCAGTCATAAAAGGAAAACACAAAAAAAAGCATTTGAACCGTGAAATGGAATGTTTGGATATTCACTATCTCATTATTAACACAACTCCATACGTAGGTTGCTAACAGCTTTTAGTGAGTTTAGTCCGTTTATGTAGTACCATCTTTTGCATGGACATACACGGATTGATATTGGATTAATAGCCTACTGTCAGATTCCATAGTCCACAAGGTGGCTTCTACAACAACTCAATGCATATTCTCACATTGCACCACGCACTTCGACGTAGTCCCTTCTGACACCTACATATCATTTTGGCGAGAGGAAGACTTAACTAAACCATCTATCCTTTGTACTTTGAGGTATTTCTGAGCCTAATTCAATACATATATGTAATTTGATCTACCTAGATATTTGATAGATTGTGTGATTGCCTGAAGGCCTGATCATGATGCGCTTTATGTTTGATGCTTTGTCGATATCTGGCTATAAATCTTCCCGCGTTTCTGATTTCACTTAGCCCTCATCCCCTCTCGCTTCCCACAAACTCCTCAACTAAAACCTCCCACGATTATCAACAAGCTCCAGCAAGAGCTTTCCTTACGGGATAACCTGACATTATGGCATCCCTCTATCTTTGTAGGGACACATTGGAGACGGGGGAGCACATGAAGCTGGTCAAAGCTGACACTGGTGCTTTGGGATACGAGAACACACGCTTGGAGGAGGAGCTCATCACGGCACCTCTATTCTCACTTTCCGCCTGTGAGAATTTGGATAACGAGCGTTTGAATAGCGAGAAAACACTTAACGGAGAGCGAACATATCCCCAGTATGGACTTCTCGGATTACGGAATCGATCTGCTGGCAAGCCACCAGCACAAGATGATCTTGTGTATGCCAATGTGTCGGCACCCTGGTCTGCCTTCATCTGCGGCAGCCAAGGAAGTGGCAAAAGTCACACTCTGTCCTGCCTGTTGGAGAATTCATTGATCGCATCTTCCCCTGCCGGGAAGCTATCGTCACCTCTGGCTGGACTGGTTATTCATTATGACAAGTTCACGGCCTTTTCCAGCACGCAGCTTTGCGAGGCGGCGTATCTGCACTCATCGGACATTCCTGTGCGAGTTTTGGTGTCACCCACTAACTATCTTGCAATGAAAAAGGCATACACCACACTCGCAGGTGGCTCGAAAATGCACAAGGTTCTGCCATTGTATCTGCCACAGAAGGATCTGAACATTGGCATGATGAAGACCCTGATGGGTATCGGCAACAAAACCGAGCAGCCCCTTTACATCGAGGTATATCAGCCCACCTATGATTCATGATGGCAATGTACTAATAATCTATCCACGTAGATCATTATGAAGATTCTTCGGAATATGGCCATAGCCAACGAGGGCAAATCCGGATTCAACTACGGCACATTCAAACTTCTGCTTCAGAGCGAGCATTTCTTGAAAGGCCAGCTTGGGCCTCTCAAAATGCGCTTGGAGGTTCTGGAATCTTTTTTCGAGCCTGGATCCGTGCCTGGCGCAACTTCGAATATGTCAAAGAGCTCTGATGCTGATGATGCCTGGAAGTTTTCTCCGGGCACTTTGACAATTATCGACTTGAGCTGCCCGTTTGTTGACCAAGAGGATGCATGCGCTCTTTTCAATATCGCCGTTTCCTTGTTTTTGAAGGACCGTCACGACGCGGGTCGCATCATTGCCCTAGATGAAGCACACAAGGTTCGTGGATCTTTTCCTATCAATCTTCTTCCATACTGATACTTGATTTCATTGTAGTTTATGACTTCCACTTCATCCGAGGCCGCAGATCTGACAGAGACACTGCTATCTGTCGTCCGCCAGCAGCGACATCTGGCCGCACGTGTGATAATCGCAACCCAGGAGCCAACTCTTGCACCGTCACTACTTGAACTTTGCAACATGACTATTATCCATCGTTTTTCATCTCCAGCTTGGTTCAAGGCAATCAAGTCACACATTGCGGGAGCTGGGATTGAGGAGCTTGGTCAAAAGACCACGGCCTCGTCGTCGATCTTTCAGAAAATTGTTCGTCTGCCGACTGGAGAGGCTTTGGTATTTTGTCCAACCGCCCTACTAGACATTGCGAAGTACGACGACCAGCAGGATGAGGAGTATTCAAGTGATACCTCTTCCAGTCAGTCAGATACTTCAGATGGCTCGTCCTCTGCAGACAGCTCTCAGATTGCCACACCTGACTCGGACTCTCAAGATGAGCCAACTCCGCGTCGCGTTGTTCAGCTCGGAACAGCATATGCTCACATTCGAGTGCGGGATAGGATCACTCTTGACGGTGGTCGCAGTGTGCTTGAGCGTTAAGGTGGTCCTAGGTCGAAGCGGAAATGCAAGGTGCATTTACCGTGCATGAGAATTCCCCGCTATGGGGTGAATTATCTAGAAGGTGGGTTTCTGTGTGCTACCTGAAAGGCACAGGTGATCAATACAATCCTTGAATTTATCTCTTGATCTTTATTTTATGTAGGCTTGTTTCCGCATCTAGCCACTGTGTATAATAAAAATCGGATGATTCACAGTCCGTTCGTAAGACAGATGGCCTACCATGACTATACCCAATTTCCTTTTAGATTTCCTTACACATTCAACGTCATATTTGAGGTTTTGTTGAATGCTGACGACGACTATTGACCTGGCCTAACAGTGGTGGAAGTGTCGGAGGGCACAACCACATGCTCGAGACCGAACGGGGACCTTTTGTTACGACAGTCAAGACAAGGATTTCTCATGACAAGTAACCTGGATACCATTTGGACTATTTTAATATCTACCAAGAGTTGTCCAATAAATGCTGTTCCGATCTTGTGTTTATGCTTCGTGCAACTCCTTGTGTACTCCAAGACCGCGTCCTAGGTAACCATTTTGAAATCTCAGAGCCTCTCTGAAGGTGAAATTCTTTGGACTAGTAAAGATAAATGAATGATGAGCTACTTGTTTACCTCCAAATCATTTTCGTGTGTGGACCGGGGACTGGTTGAGAATGTGAAACACCTGTTCCCTTGGCTTTGTGCTACGTACCTTCATAGCAACCAAGACTACGCAGAACACAATACTTCCGGTGTGCTTAGACCTTTCGGAGCTATTGTCTCACATTTAGCAAGTTATTGAATGCGATCATAGTCAATGATCATGAAGTTATGGCTTCAAGAGTTCAATATGGGCTCAAAGTTCTTGGAATATATAGTTCCATATAAGGTTAATCATAGTAAGATACTTGATAGATATGTAAGCTCCAGGGTTCCTTTATAGTTGTAGGATTGCTCATTGCATTAGCAGCAATCATGACGCCCCAAAAAGTTGATCATCTCATGAATCCCTGGCAATCGCCATCGAATCTAAACGGGCCGCAGCAGTTACCCTAAGGGTCCCGTGCCCTAGCCAATGACTATCATTGTGCTCAGTATATTAACAGGCGATGTATTATAAAACACTTTCATTGCAATACGGACAGGAACTGTGACGCGCGGCCGGTCAGAACCGAAGACGTTGTACATACATGATGGATTGAGCCAACAAAAAATTCCTATCTGGGCTAAAAAGTGAAGTTACAAGCTACAGAATCAACAGTCCTTCCTCTGGATCCCTTTGACTGCAACACAGTAGTAAATTCACGTCACGGGGACTAGTAAATGTGGTCCTCGACTAGCTATCTTGTACTCCGACACATACCTGGGAGCACGAGGCGTGATGGATCAAGGCACCACGGCAAACCAGCCCAAAAATAAAGATTGCCATTGAAATTTCAGAAGACCCTGTGAGAGATAAGACCACCTGCAACTGACATAGGGACTATAAAGTATCATGTTCCCGTCTTATATCACCCCTGACTTTGATTTCCTCCAACCTAGCGAATGTTATATTGTGGCTCGACCTTCTAAGATTGATAACTATTTCCTCGACTTACTTCACTTTATATTGGTTATCACTTAAACCAATCAATATGCGCGTTAACATTATCTCTTTGGTGGCTCTAGCTGCTACAACGTCAGGTACGGCAGTTTGTCCAGGGGAATACAAATAAATCTAACCGTGAAATCAGCTCTCCTTGTCACCTCGCCACGGATTGGTGAAAAGATTGACCCCGATATGCCCCTCACTATCAAGTGGCAGACTGTCGCGTAAGTTACCAGAGCTTAACACGAACACTGGCAAATGCTCACCGAAAATCTAATCCTACAGAACGGACCCAGATACCTTCACTATCGAACTGGTCAATCAGAATGTCTATCCTTCGACAACATCGGTGGTAGTAGAAGACATAGAATCTTCCAAGGGCTCCTACACCGTCAAAGCAAAGACATTCACAGATGTAGACGATGGGTAGGTCCAATTTGATTGAATTGCCTTGGAGCTACTGACCTGATATTCAATATAGGAAGGGATATCAGATCAATTTCATCTCTCCGACCAGTGGCATTCTGGCTCAGTCTCAGCAATTCCGAGTGACTGAGCCTGGGGCAATTGCTAGTAGCTCTGGTAAGGAAACCAGCATTGCGCTTGAAACTTCGTCTGTCTCGTTGATGTCTTCCACCGCGTCGACCAGTGATATTACTTCGACTCCTTCCTCGACTGCTTCCTCTTATCTGTCTTCGACCGCTCACTCCTCCTCCAGTGCGTCTACCCCTACCTCGTCCCATTCTTCTTCTTCTTCTATTTCTACCCCTACAACATCTTCTCTTATAACTAGCTCTGCAAGTGCGTTTACCTCTTCCATTTTACCTTCTGTCCCTTCTACCCATGAAACATCCTATCCCACTTCAACATATGTTTCCACCGGTACTTCTTTTGCTCCAACAACATCCTCCACTTTGACATACACAACTTCTTACACCAAGACCTTGGAATCTACCTTGACGCTTACCACACCCACTTCTTCATCAGTATCTTCTATCTCCACACTTGCCACCTCTTCCTCAGTCTATTTTACATCTACACCTTCAACTTCTTCTTTCATTGCAACTTCTTCCTCCATTATATCCACCTCTGCTACCCCAACTACTTCTTCTTCCATTACCACGTCTTCTATGTCACCTACTCCATCCACACATTCTATCTCAACTTTCAAATCAAGCACTATCTCTCCTACATCCCATTCTTCCCATATTTCCACCACCCCTGGTTAGTAAAGGCGGAAAGCGCGGCTTCCGAGGCAGCATTTTGCTTTTTACCCAACTACATTGAGAAAACAAACCCTGACTCTATCTATAGGATCGACCTCTGCTTCAACCATGACCTCAACCTCGAGTAGCATGTCCACCGCAACTCATTCGAGCACCACGACTTCAACCACCACTCGTCGCACGTCTTCGACCACAACTTCCACTGCGACTGAATCGGCAACTACCACCACCAACGCTGCTGCCGTCCTTATGCCCCCTGCTGGCAGTCTGCTTCTGGGTCTGCTTGCTCTGGTCCTTTAAATCCCGATATTGGTCATTGGTGGTCCAGCTCTAGGCAAGTGGCCAGCTGGGTATCCGGGAGCTTAAATATATGAGTTGGAGACAGTGCTGGTTACTTGTGGTAGTTGCTTTGGACAAAGGCTACTATCTGTTGAAGGCATTGTGGAAATGGGGTTAGGTTACTGATGATTTATTTTGCTTGATGATGTTGATGTTGACTATTTGGTCTATGGACCTATGATATGCCCCCTACATTAATGAGAAATGCGATAATGCTATGCCTGTTTTATAATTTTGGAATTCTATTGTCAATCACATCTCTAAGTGAGCCGTTGCTCTATATGCATTAAATTATGTTACCAAATATGGGAAGGAAAGATGAGGGGAGTTCACTTCGTCAGTAGGGACAGCTGGAAAGCTCGACCGCGGTCTTTTTAGTTAGTTTCTACAAGGTGAGCTTAAAAGGTTCACATAGAATAATCCTTAGACGCGTAATCAATATGTATAGATTGGAAAAGGTAATATAGACGAGTAAAGATATCATAGCTGTTAAAAAAAGAAAAGCCACGCTAAAAAAGTGAACCACCGATTGGTAACCTCCAGGGCTTCCAAGATTGTTGAATCAAGTTCGATTACATGGTACATTTGGGATGGAGTTTCGCGCCATGCTGTACCTGAAAAGCGGACTATAACCCGCAAATGGAGCATCATGACTTGACGCTATCGCTGGGCCGATCCCAAGTACGGATATGGCCTGTGTCGGAATGTTAGTATTAATTGGCCCCAAACAAGCCCATGATACATACCTTCAAGAGAGGAAGTCATAATGCAATCTTTCTGGAAGCCAAGCCAGCAGGTGGGATCTTCGCCGACAACTTTGGACTATGGGTCTGTTAGTATTTTGCCACTGACAATCTACGCGCCAATTGATGCTTACCATGATCGGGGGCAAAAGAGCTGTTCGAGACCGGGGTTCCACGGGGTGACTCGGCGTCTGATCAATACTTTCATTGTACTTTTCGGTTTCAGTGGAGTCCGAGCGCACACGGTTGTTGCCACTGTCTGCACGGTGGCGGTTGGCAGTCTGTGAATTGGGCAGTACGATGCTGGATCGGTTTCGAGTTGAGGCTTGGTGTGCCCGAGGACGATGGAGCATTCCAACGCTGAAATCCCACAAGAGGAGACGGCAGTCGTCGCCGACGCTGCCGAACCGGTATGTCTTTGGATCACAGCGCCAAGGGTCGAATGCTACCGACGAAACCCAGGAGTTGTGTCCTTGACATCTGGCAACAACCTTGCGCTCGGGGAAAGACCAAATCGTCAGCAAATCATCCTGGCCTCCGGTCACGATATATTTGCCATCTGGCGACCAGCAGACACAGATTAGCCCGCCATAGTAACTGCGGAATATATCCAGTACCCTAGAAGGCGTTAGTTGAGAATCGTTCAGTTCTCTTAACATAGGGCAAACATACTCCTCTTTCAAGTAATCCATGAGCCGCAGCGACCCATCTTCAAGAACCACGGCCAGATGCCTTTGATCGGGCGAAAAGGCGAAGCTTGAAATCTTCTGGTTTGCCATTTTCCAAAATGAGACCGGATTGGTCTTCTGATTTTTGGAGTTCACAGATTTCAGAATGTCCAATGGTAATCGTTCGACCTCTTCGGAATGGCTGTTCACCTCGGGGGTGAAAAGGGCATCCTCCTTCTCCTTGTCGTACACGACCAGCACACCGTTGGCGTGAGACGCCATGAACAGATTCTCAGACCCAGGAAGCCATTTTATGTGGGTCACGGGGGAGTTGTTGATCACACCGTTCTTGTTGATCCGAGCGTACTTTTGCGACATTGGCTCATACCAAATAATGTCTCCTGCAGAAGATCCCATCACAATGTCCAAATGGGATGGTGTCTTGGTGAATTCATTGACGTCGTGACAGAGCATATGTGCCTTGGTGAAGAGGACTTTGGTAAGATGTTCCTCCTTTGTAGGCGAACTGAGATCGAGCCATTGGAATGCTCGGTTGATATTCGCAAAAGCAAAAATACCGTTCAAGTCACGATCACCCAATCGCTTGGCAGATGTCTCGTGGGTGATGACTCGAGAAACAAAGGAAGAACTGCTCTTGATGATGTTGTTCTTGGGCTTCCTTCGCTTCGCTGCGTCCTTCGGTGCCACCGGTGGCGCCGCGAGCGCAGGGTTTCCATCTCCAAATTGGGGAGCTGGAACAGCCGACTTCAAAAAAGTCGGAGGTTTCTTTCGAGGGTCGAGACAAACAAGAGATAGCTTTACGCCAGAGGTGGGGGGTGTGGGTAGCGTCGCAAGAGGGTTCGGGTTGATAATGGGAGCTTCAGATGGGTGGGGAGGGGGTGTCGCGAGGAGTAGATCATCCTGGAGGATGTAGGTTCCTGTCGCAATTTAATGTGTAAGCTATCTTTGAGATTCTGAAAGGCTCGGGATATTTAAGGAACATTAGCGATCGCTGAGCACACATACCCTCCCCAACTTGCAATGGACATCCACGCTCCGGGTGGGTAATAGTATTGTTCGTTTCCACAACAGGGACTGCCATACCATTTGCCGCCCCCGCCGCATATGCGACAGGGATGGTATAGCGAGGAGGGGGAGGTGGGAGGACACTACTGGTAGTGTCAGAATATGAATCAATATCTGGTATCTGAGAGTTGTGCCTCCCAAATTACGTTGTGAATAGTGGAAACAGCCTTGGCTTGTAGATTGAAAGTAACCGGTCGGTAAGTGAGAAGGAGAATGCTTACAACATGACTAGACGTCACTCGTACAAGGTCAATTTGGACTCGGCCTGAGATCTGGTGTGACCAACAGTTCAACCTTGGGACCGAGGCAAATGCGCAAACTTTGCCAATTCTGCGATGGCGCTTTATATAACTTTCCTGTTGCTGGTTTTATATATCGATATCTGCAATGTGTTGTGCTTGGGGGACGGGGCGCAAGTAAGGCTGCAGGGGGCGACGGCGAGTCAAGGTGCGCAAGTCGAGAATCACGTATAGATCCACTCGATAATATATAATATACTGTGTATGATACTATCAGTCGAGGTTCGAAGGTTGGAGGTTTCGAGATACAGGCGCGAGAGGGGGAGGATCAGCAAGGGAACGATGTCCGGGGTAACGTTTGAGCGGAGAAGAAACGTGCCTGGAACCGGCTTAACTCCGGCTGAGCCGGCTATGTACCTGACTACATATACACCGGATTTTAGGCCGAGCGAGATGGATTTCCCATTGTCGAATACTATTATAGGTCTTACGCCCATAGTGTAAACACTATAAACACTAATTACCTAGGCGGTAACATATAGTAGAATGATTTCTACTATAAAGACCGGTGTCACGTGATAATAAGTATTCTACCGAAAAGATCCCTAGTTATAAATCGCAGGCCTAGATAGTCACGACTCACACTAGGTATCGAAGTGAGCCAGCTAGTGGACCACCTACCATGGCTAGAGGAAGTTTCAAATACCGAGTCCAAATACCCGGTCAGATACGGTACTAAAATAACAAGCGTTTACTCTTGTACGGTCCAAGTCAAATTCGTCTATATCGATAGTGCCCCCCGCCCCGGGCCAGGAGTCCATTATTGATGGAGTCACATACCAAAAGAGCCTCAAACATACCGGGGATCTTCAAGCAACCAAAATGTATTCAATAGAGTACCCATTCAGTTATCGAACCTTTCCGGAGTGCCGTGTGACTTTGAAACACAGAGCTTTTGGCGGACAACCCCCATTTTTGCAGGAGTACTTCCTGATATTATCTCTAAGCATCGAATTCCCGGGCCTTATTCGTCACCCAACACAGGCAAGCTGGCTATGAGAGCGTCGACCCACACGAGGGATGTGTACACCCCTTCGCAACCTGATGCGAACAATCATAAGCGGTAGAGATGTGGACAGGTGATGGATTTTGTGCACTGGAGCAGACTACGCCGGCTTTTATCAAGAGCAATCTACGTGGTGACTTTTACCGTGTTTGAAGAAAGCGCTAATTATCTTTCACGCCCCTTAAACTCTCAACTGGTCTGAGGCCAAGCATCCGAAGAGCTTGTATGTCAAAAATGACGCTTACGCATATTTGCGCGAAGCTGGACGCCAGTACCTGCTGGGCGTGGAATTTTTATTGGGTGTCGAATATGGACTGGAAGCGTTTTACTTTGAAGTGCAAGAATGGGTGGAGAAGCCTTTTATGCTCTCTAGGAACTACACTACCGCTCATCATGATAAGCAACTGGCTGCACGTGGCATGGGACTGCGCAGATTGAGTAGTGATGTTTATCTTCAAGATGAGGATTACATAAACTTGACTTCTTACCTAGATACATGCCATCATTGGTGTTTACCGAGACGTTATATATAGGAAACCCTCTACTGGGTCCGACTAGAAGGATTATGCTTTTACTCAAGAATTAGAATTGGAGTTTCTTTCTTTCCTAAATACTCAGGAAATCTGTTATAACCGTGAACTCGCAGTTACTTATAAACTATCTCTGCAGACTTAAACGAGAATACGCGAACCCAGATAATTAACAAGAGTTTAACACGCATAAACATGGCTTGAGCTGGGTTTGCCGAAGCTCGCCCAAGAAGATATACATAAGCCACTCACGGCGCCATGCCGTAATCATCTGCCACGCCATGAGGCCATTCAGCTGGAGCTGATACCGTTAAACAGAAGCTTGCTAGTAGTGCCAGACGGAGCGCTGGAGATAGACTCGATAGCAAGCTCGACAAGACGGGCGCAAGCTTGATCAGCGGTCACACCCTCGAGAGCCATCAAGTAGGCGGCAGCACCAGCAACGTGTGGAGCAGCC